TTGTTGCAGAACACCTGGAGGTTTCAGACTTTACAATGTTTCATTTTGATTTTTATTTCCTCATTTCTATTAACAGTATGAGATAGCTAAATAACTGTGGAAATGCACCAATGCAAAATACGTGGGCTTTATGGACCTGTTAATCTTCTGATTACTTTGATTAATTGACCGATAGCCGTCATCAGATACGCCAATGGGTACCAACGACCTTTTCCATTAGAAAATAATTATTACCGTAGTATTTTTATGCAATAAAACTGTGTCCCCAACGAATTATTATTTTTCTCTCCACACTGTGATTGTTTCCACATACATTTTAGCAATCTGCCTTGTCTTTATAGTCATTGCTTAACATATTAGTTTAGGAACGTACCATAAAGAGGATACGAGTAGGGCATCAAGCCTAGCATCTCCCTACAGCTCTTTAAATCGGTAGTGGATCTAGATCAAAATAGGTGGCTGAACAACAAAGTTTGCTTGTACCGAATAAATCAAAAAACATTTATATTTAAAATACACACGTGTGAGGCAATTTACAATCAAAAATCAACAAGTATGCTCTTGATACTCAAAAATAAATCTAGTTGCATATGAATACAGGTGCTTTCCAACTCCATAATATGCTATTCGTAGCCTTTATGGTAATAATTTACATTGAAAATAAACCAATAAATCAAAATCGAACAAGTACGCTCTTGATGCTCAAAAACAAATCTGATTACAGTATATTCAGATAAGAGATAGACCGGATGTAAACAAAAGGTTCGGGTGATTTTCACGCTAACGCCGCCGTCTCGACGTAAAACAGGAGCCCTCATTGGTCAATTCGCAATTAAATGCCTATGCCGAGCGGCAGAGCAGTCGTATCAAGGCAGAGTCACATTCAGGTTCAGACCTGTTACGTATGTCGTGTGCATCATTGCAATTTGATATTTCTTTGGACGTTTTCGTTTGTTATCTTATTAAGTTGTTGAGTTTGTCGTTGTTATTGTTATACCTTGTTATTGATTGTTATTGTTATCAACTCGAAAAATATCAACTTTGAAGAAGCAATGCTGAAAGTACAATTATTAAGAATTGTCAAGGATCACAAGGCGGAATATCAAAAATACGCCATTGACGAAATGGCAGCAAGTCAAAATAAAACTGTGCTCCGTTTACCTCCATACCATTGCGAGCTCAATCCCATTGAGCTCATATGGGCAGAGGTTAAAAATTATATAGCTAAGCACAATACAACTTTTAAATTTTGTGACCTCAAAGGACTTTTCAAAGAAGCACTAGAATTAATAACAGCGCAAAAATGGGAAAACTGTATTAAGCACGTGAAAGACAAAGTTGAAAAGAGAATGTGGGAACTGGACAATATTTTAGAGGAACAAGTCGAGCCATTCATTATTGACGTTGGTGCTTCAGGCAGTAGCGATGATGAAAGCTCATCAAGCTCATCTTTCCAATAAAAGATTTCGTTCATCAAAGGTAAGTTATAAGTAATTATAAAGCTACTCTATTTTTTAATTAATTATTGACATTTTTGAACCCATTTTGGCAAAACCTATTCAAGAATCTACTTTCTGACAATGTTCAACCATGAAAATTTTTTTACGTTTTGAACGTTTTAATTTGGTTACATATTTACCTAGAAATCAAAAAATATACTAATCAATATTCTAAAAGCAATTTTAAGAGATATACGATTATTTTTAATTTAGGCTAATTTTGAGATTATATTCGACTGTATTTCACCAAACATCAGGCGGCATCCGAAGCTGGAAATCGAAGCGAAAATTTTGAAACCCTTATGTATATTTACATCATTATATATTTCTTACCCCACCCCCACATGATCCTATATCCATCACCAATCGTATATACATCGAATTGTGCTAATGTGCTAATTTACTACCAAGTTACGCAAAGCAGCATCTACTATCTAAAATATGTACTGCGTGACTCTTAATACGTCCCTGCCGAATGTTACAGCGTTCGATGATCACGTGGTCTTGTTTATGTCCGGTCTATCTCTTATCTGAATATACTGTACATATATGTGTACTTGCACCTAATTCATAACATTGTATTTCGAACGCATCTGATGTCTACAATAACAATCTATTTTTATCCACCCTTTGTTGCAGCATTTCATGTTTATCTGATATATTTATAGATATAACTATCTACATGTGCTGTACAAAGCTTAAACTATAAATGGATGATGTGCTTTTGTTTATTACAGCGAAGCTAATGAACTTCAGATGAAGCGGTTCGAATCAGCCAACTTACATAATGGAAAAAACTAAATCTTGCTGGTTTTGAGAAAATAATGGGTGCTCAATAGGTACTTCGGGATTTAAATTTGGCGCCATTTTTCAACTTTGGAATTATCACAGACACGTTTTTCGGATTGTGAGGAAAATGAATAGTATGTTTCTAGGATGTTACATGAAAAACCATATCACTTGTTTCCATTGCTCTTGGAAAGTACAGCGAGGAATTTTGAAACAAGGTTATGACTATGCCAAGGACGAAAAAGTTTGACAGTTTTTAAAAATCGATCCAGTGGCGGCAGAGCAACATTCAAAAATATTTCCTGATCATTGTCCTAAAAAAATATAGACGCCAAAAAATGTTGTAAGATGTATCTCAATTTTTTGGAATTTGGAATCATAACAACGTTGCCCAATTGTCGATACTGCCGGTAGCGCAGGGGAAAAATTTCTAGGCATGAACGTCCTCAAATGGGTGGGGACTGTAGGCAAATTGTATGGAGCTGTTTGACTGACTTGATCTATTTAATTTATTTGTTATACACGTTCGTATCTATTTTTTACAGGGGCTAGCTTATGCCGAAAATAATCCTTTACAAACGGCTGACTTCTCTATTCAAACGACGCGGACAATGAAGGGGAGTATTTCTCAACTTACTGGTGAAGAGCCGCAATTGCATCAAAAGGTTACTGAAAATTTGAGTTGAAAAATGATCATTGTTTAATTTATTAATTCTACATAATACCATGATATTTTTCAAAAATTCTTGGTTTTATTCAAGACAAAATCCTGAAATACCTAGTAGACACCCTTTATTTAAAAATAAGAAGGAAGGCTAACCCGAATGCAGAAAATTAGTTATGCTTGAAAAACGTATAAACCTGATTAGAACAAGGCTCAATAAAACTAAAAACAAGTTAAACGTAAAACTGATGTCCGATAGTCAAGGCATCCGATAGATTCTCTGAAATGGACAATAGTATAAACAGAATGGTACAATTAGATATACAGCTGCATTTTATACCTGTGAAACCGTTTAGTTGAAAGAATATAATTGTTATTGGATATCGAGTTTTACCGATGAAATTCATATTAAATCTGACACAAATACTACGAATTATTGAATAGTTTTATGGTTTTATATTTCATAGAATATGAGACGATATCTGAAGATGCTGTATTGTGTTCCCGAATTTTCAACAGTCAATCCTCCCAAATACTTTTTCATGTTTTACAAATGAAGTATCTAGGAGAGATATCAAAAGAAAACGGTATATTGTTATTTTTCAAACCGTAGGTTTAAAAAATAGACGGGAATTCATTTGAACCATTGTTTGAAGAAGCGCTCCCAGAGCGACGGCAAACCATTGGAAACAAAGATGTGGGATCTGGACAATATGATCGATATTCAAACTGAACCTGTAATAATTAATAATAACCATTCGGACGATGATTCAAGTACTTCCAGCGAACAAAGAATTGTGAAAAGTATGTGCACTTCTTTCTATAAAAATAATCATTTATTTTGTTAGATTATTCCAAGACCAGTGAGAAAAATACGGACCTGTACAATCTCGCTTTAGGGCATGTTGTGTTTTGTTTGGGCGTAAATGGACTACGAATGGGGTATAAAAACCTAATTCGGTATTCGGGTTTGATTAAAAATGATATCAATGTAAAATGTTGAATGTTCCTTTACTTGTAGAATTTTCAAAGATGGTTAAACATATCTTATTGTCGATTTCAGAAACTATCTACCAGAGCGCTTATTGTTAGAACATATAGATGCGAAAAAGCTTCTGTAGCACACCATCTTACCTATTTGAATAGTTTTTCTAAATTCTAAGTGGGGCAGTGCCTTGTCTGGTCAAGGTTATACGTAATACTATAAAAAATAAAAAAGATTAATAGAAAGAAAAGGTGTGAATGTGATGATGAATGGTGACTCGGATGAGTGTTTCAATGAGAAGAATGGCCATAAATATAAACTAACAACGTAACCAGCAAAAAATAACAATATGTAGATGTAATTAATTTTTGTGGGTTTCGTATCTCCACTGTTTTAAAGTAACTACCCAAAATAATGAAATAGGAATGGATTGGGAAAATAATTTCAACTTGTTGACCCAAAATAAAGTGATGGTGAAAATATAGTTGATAGTCGAGATGGGTATGTGAATGAATAAAAGAATTATAAACTTCAGCTTATAACAACCCAAACAGCAGGCAATTAAATCGCTTTTGAGCGTCCAAGTTACAACGACCTTTTTGTCCGAGAAGCAATTTTCAACATATGTAAAGGCGTGGTTCGTGGCCTACAAGTTGCGAAGCTTCTTTTAACATTTGGGTTCCTTTAAGTAGAAACAGATTGAATTTGCCAGATGTTTCATCGCGCTTTATATTCAACCTTATGGTTAAAGGCTGTAATAGCTAACAAATGTTTTACTGTTCACGATATTGCCGACTTCCTTTTTCAGAATATTTAAATGTCAACGAATGCACTAGTTTCGGATGCAAAGTAGAATTTCTGATATTCTAAAGAGGTGATAGAATCTAGCAAGGAGGATAGATATGTTGAATATGCCATTTTTTAACTGCAGAAATTGCTCTTACGATAAGAATCCAGTTATTGCCCTTTTTTCGTTCCCGTTTTGATGAAATTGTATTTGCAATCCAAACCTCTGAAAATAACACTTCACAATTTATTGAATGTACATACCACCTGCTATTACTTTCTGTCAAGCAGGTAAAGGGGCCCATACATACCTGAAACAAAACAAACATTCTTTAGTTACAGTTATTACCTTGACATTGATATTAATTAATTAACTATTCACCTAGTTCCAATTACAATTAGTCATAGCATATTTAATTTAATCGTGATAAAAAACAGTTGATCCTATTAAACAGATATGCCCTGTCATTGGAGCTTACATTCCGGTAAATTTTGTTATCTTGATGACGAATATACAGGGTGGCGCATCGAAAACGAAACAGACGTATTTACTGACAGCTCAGTTTTTTTTGGAATAACGCTCAGACCCGTCGATTTTGTTTTCGAGGGGGACACAAGTTTGGCAAAAAAATCACGTTAACACGTGCAGCCCCCTTGGCGGAGATGACACCAACCGTAAAATCTTAAATGGAAAGGGGGGTCGAGTGATACCTTATTTTAAAGGTCTTTCAATTCCGTTTATAATGATGTAAAATGCATGAGCTTCAGTTCAGTAGTTTTGAAGATTTATTGATTTAAAGCTTAAATAAAACTAATACATCATCATTAGTGGAGATCAATACATTTTTCAGCAAAGTAATTTAAAAATGAAGAATTAATTCTCCCGTTAGGCAAGTAAATGTTGAAAATGACCACCATGACTCTCCATGCAATAATAAAGATTTTGCTCAAAACGTTGCCGTACATTTTTCAATATTTGAGGAGTAATTTGAAGGCACTCATTCACAATTCTTTGTCGCAGGTCTTCTAATGATGTTGGCTGAGTAGCATAGATTTTGCTTTTTAGATGACTATACATAAAGAAATCTAAAGGTGATAAATCTGGCGATCTTGGGGGCTATTCAATGACACCTCTTTTACCAATCCATCGATCTGGAAACGTATGATCTAAATATTGTCGAACACGTAATGCGTAATGTGGTGGGGCACCATCCCGTTGGAACATCAACCTATTCGCAATATACCGCCGATCATTCTGATTTTCAATTATGGCTGTTAATGCAGGATCTATGCCGTCTTCCAGTAATTCCAAATACATTTCACCCGTCAAATTTCCAGGTAAGAAAACAGGACCAACTAAATGATCGCCAAAAATACCAGCCCAAACATTTAATTTTTGTGGCTGCTGTGTATGAACCTCATGATACATTCTGGGATTAGAATCGGACCTATATCGGCAGTTATGACGATTTACTACGCCATTTAAGAAAAAGGAACATTCGTAGGAAAAGCAAGTGTTGAATAGAAAATGTTCATCTTTTATAATTCGTTCACTCATATCTTCACAAAATTGTAATCGCCGATCAAAATCGTCTTCATTAAGTTCTTGTTCAGTCTCCAATTTTCGGGTACTTAACGTAGGATCTGTATAAACTCGCCCTAAAACCCCCCTTCTATTGCTTCGTTCCTTATAGGATTTGCAATGTTGCGTTTTTTATTGGCGACTGACCCAGTTTCCCGAAATTTAGCTACAAGTTCTAGAACATATTTTCGATGCACGTTACTGTTCTCATGTCGCTCTTTAAATATTTCTGCTGTTCTATTAGCGCACTGATTATTTCCGAAAAATATTTCGATGTTTTCAACTCTTTCTGCTGTGGAATATACCATGGTTAATTTATGTAATAAAGCGTAACAAGTTATTTTAGCAACAAAGTTTGGTCAAATCAATCGCAAACTATGTACTACATTCCTATTTAAAATAAGTACGAGATATTTCCTTATCTTTCTTCAAGAAATAACTTTTTTGCCTCAAAAAACGCTCCAATAGCTATTTTCAACAACAAAATGATAAACAAACCATGGGCGTAGTGAAGAAAAGCATTTACTTATTAAGTAAATACTTTTAGTCAAATTTCTTCTGAAAGTAGTACAAACTAATCTGATGTACCTATTAAAGTCTACTTTAAGCTTCAAATCAATAAATCTTCAAAACTATTGAACTGAAGCTCATGTATTTTACATCATTATAAAGGGAATTGGATGCCTATCATGAATTAAGAGGCAGGCGGCCGGTAATCCGGTAAACATTTAAACAATTTTTTTATACAAATTAGTATTTTCCCTCCAGACAAAATTACTTGAGGTTTTCTGGATCATTCTGAACAGAAAAGGTCCTCAGTTACCGTTTCCGAGTTAAAAGCGTTAAATTTTGAGTAGGCCTGAAATGACAATTTTGAATGCTTGAAAACTCGGTTAAAAATTATTATTTATGAGGTTGTCAAATGTCTGAATTAAAGATCAAACCCTACAAGAGCTCGACGAGACTTTTAGACCTGGTTTATTTTAAGGTAATCCTATCCTTTCGGCGTTTGCGTCATTAGATTCGCTGCCGGTGGTTCCCCCATTCACTGGTATGTGTGCGTGTATGTTTGTTTCAGTCAGGTTCATAATCGCTAAGATGGAGCAACATAGAAATAAACGTAAACGCGTTTTTATTACCATAGAACAGAAACTTGAGGCAATCAGACGTTTAGATAGAGGTGATTTGCTTAAAAACGTGGCAAGTGATTTGGGTGTGGGCGCGAGTACCAGTTCAGAATGGAAAAAACAACGCGAGAAAATTGAAAAGTGGTGAAGTGTTCTGACATCATCGCAGCCGTCACGTAAAATTATGAAAAAGGGGGAATATCAAAAAGTGGATGATTCTTTATATCTGTGTTTTACACAGAATAGAGAACGTGGAATACCAATTTTCGGGCCAATTTTAAAGCACAAGGCAGTCAACTTAAGTGAAGAATTGCTAGTTATTGAGGCGCCTGATAACTTTACAACCAGTGATGGTTGCCTGCATAGATGGAAAAAACGACACGGTGTTCGAGAATAAGTTTGAGGAGAAAAGTTATCTGCCCGTAGATGGTGGTGAGTGGATTAATGGTGATACATTGGTGGAAGAATTAACTGATTCTGAACTAATAAAAACTGTTTGTAACAATGGCGATGAAACAATTTTAAGTGATGCTAGTGACAATCTCTGCACATTGTGAGGGATTAGAAGCTCTACAAAAGGCACTTACGTCGAACAACAACAAACAAGCGACAGCAGCTGATGTGCTACTTATCAGACGTTGGAGGGATATTGCTGCCAAAAATAGGAACAATTCAAAACGTGCACAGTTAAAAATTACTTCCTTTGTTACAAAATACTCGTAAATATATGTATGTTTGTATCCACATGTTTATATTTTACGTAACTTTATATAAGTATATACTCACTCGATTATCCGAAAGCACTTGGGTCACATTATTTCGGAGTATCGGGGTTCTACTGTAATTAAGTCTATTGGATCGCAGATTTGAAATACTGGTTAGTTTGTTGAGGGCATTTGAACGTCACTTCAAGGTCATATCAGATGCGTGTCATATAGGTTTGAAACTTTGTTAATCCGATTTTTTAACTGTCTAAGGTTAGTCGAATCGGAAAAGTCTCCTGTTGTATATTGTTCCACAATCTCGAGGTCGTTGATATGTAAGAGAGTGTTGGAGCTAATCAAGCCCTGACGTTCACACCTCTTCAGTAGTTCCCAATAGTCAAAAGTTAGCAAAAACTGACATACATGTTTTATCTGGCAGTACTTCAAGGTTGATATTATATTATTATTAAAATACTGAATAATACTAATATAACTAATATAAAGAAGGTAAGAATAGTAATCCGTTCAATTCCTGGTGTACATGAAAGCGATAATGACAAATTTCTGTTAAATCAAATGAAAGTTCGTACTCCATTTATCATGATCTCAGATGCCCAAATATTTTCAATACACAACACAACATAAGATACACAAGCTCTCCAATTTTGCCATTAAACAGTAATGTCTAATGTTACGCCAAAAACTTAAAATTCAAGAATCTACCATGGTGGAGGTCGTGGAATCAAACTTCCGAATCCGTGACCTCTGTACGATGCACGCGAACTCCATAGCGCGTAATTAACAAGAATAACAGTTGTTGTTCTGTTTCTTGTAGGGAAAGGTTTGAACTTTAATTTAGACGGCAACTTGAAAAATATTTTTAACCGAGTTTATGAGCTCCGAATATGGCTATTCTGAGGATTTTCACACCTTAAACAGCATACAATTTGCGGTCAACTTTAAGAACGGTTATTATGGACGCTTTTTGTTCAGATTGATAAAAAAACCTAAAATCCCTTTGCCCCGAGCGAAAATACCAATTTTTTGTAATTTATTTAAAAACTGCACAACTGCAATTCGAATCTACGGGGTCTGTAAATTAAGTCATGAGACTGATATTTTTTAATTTTATTATTCAAATATAGTTACAATTTTATATTGTCATCTTTAAAATAACTCCCTTCTGAACCCACACAGCGCTCGTTTATCGACATTGCTGGGCTCTTGACAAAACGCTGTGCTCAAGTCTGAAGCAAAACTTGAGAGCACCCCGTTGCTCGAAATTGATGTCATTCATTTTTAGAACCCAATAGGAAAAACCTCATCTCATCTCCTCCAAGCCCGGCGACTCCAGTGTTGTCAAATCGAACGCTACGCTGCCAGTCTAATCACTTAATTTACGTACCTAAAGTGTATCTAACGAAGCTACAAAGTAATCGTAAACAGTGGTTGATTCGTGATCAACGCGTGATCGGTAGCCATGACGCTCTGTCGGCCTCTTCCTGATTGGCTTGTAGCGACGAGCTTCCAGACATAGTCGCACGGTTGCCACGCTCGGCGAGTTTTCGCCAGAGTGGTTGATCACATTCGCATGGATCACAAATCAATCTGTTAGTGCAATACGTGCAATAACTGTTGTAAAGGACATTATATAACAATAAATGGCATCACAAAGGTAAATTCCAATTTGATCTGCAGCAAATTATGAACGGCATATACGGAGATGCGAAAACAAGCTCAAAAAGGTGAAGAAAATTTTTGTGCAATATTTATAGTTAAATTTTTCCTAAGAGATAGCATCAGTGAGGGAATTTTTTTCTATTGTCTTATTTTTCACATTAATGCGATGTCGAGGTATGTGGCCCTATCGCAATTGAGAATAAGGTTTCGATAATCCTTCCATAAAGTTTTGATGA